GACACGGGGTGACACCGCCAGCAGCAGGGACGGGGACGTGGGGTGACACCGCCAGCAGCAGGGATGGGGCACGGGGTGACACCAGCAGCACCTTTCGGGTTGCTGTGCCCTCCCCTCTGAGAGCAGGGCCCTCATTCCTGGCCCCATTTGCAGTCAGGGACCGGGAGACATTAGARCAGGAGGCAGAGGCAGCACTTGCAGTGCTGAGGGTGGAGTGAAATTGTGTCTGTGGGGTCCCTGAAGGMAGCAAGTCCCTCTGTGCTCTAAATTAGCACAGGGACTAACGRGAGTCTGGAGATATGAGAGCCAGCTTGGAATTAAAGGTTCCTTACAGGTTCCCCCTTCAAGCACGGCATCCATCCATGGTGCTTTCATTGCTGCTGTGAGCTGGGCTGGGATGGAATCAGATGTGGGAAGGGGGCTCCTGGCTGCTGCTGCCCAGTGTCCTCAGCCCAGGCCTGGGGCACAGATAGTTGACACCAGGCCCAGCACAGATGGTTCAGGATGCTGGGAAGCTGAAACAGGGCTCTACCCTYAGCATCCACACTGCTGCAGGAAAAACCCTTTTTGGGTATCAATATCCCTGTGCAGAGACTGCGCTGCCCAACAGTTAATGTGCTGCACTCTAGTCTGGCCATCAACCTGCCAGTAAAGAAAAGGAGTATATGGAGAGGAGACCCAGCTGAGAGGGGACCTCATCCCTGCCTGTCCCTGTCTGCAGAGAGGGCTCAGAGCAAGGACCAGGCTCTGCTCCCTGGGGCCCAGCAATGGGACAAGAGGCCACAGGCAGGAACCAATGTGCAGGAAGTTCCACCTGAACATAAGGAAGAATTTCTTTCCTGTGCAGTGACCAAGCACTGGAACAGAGACCAGAGAGGGTGTGGAGTCTCTCTCACCGGGGATATTTCAGACCTGTCTGGACACAATCCTGTGCCGTGTGCTGGGATGACCCGATGACCCACTGTAGTCCCTTCCAACCTGCCCCACTCTGTGTGAGAATCAGCTGCCAACCCCCTGCTCTGAGGAGGGCCCGAGCCAGTTGGTGGTGGGGAGAAGCAGAGATGGTGAACAAAAGGACAGGAGGGTGCATGTCCCCAGCAGAGCAACCTCACAGGAGCCCAGGGGTAGAGSTGACACAGAAGATGGCTGTCGCTCATGGCATTAAGAACAAACACCTCATGGACACAACAATCCCAGTGACCRTCTCTATGGCACCAAAAGCCATCTCGGATCGTTCAGTGGGAGGGACCATGTTCAACAGTGCAGCTCAGGCTCGTCCTGGAGTGAGCACAGTTGTGCCAAAGCACTGCTGAAATGCAAATCAGATCCTTGTGAAGAGGCTTCCACAAATGGATAAAATCACCCTGCCTGGAGGTCTGAGCTCAGCTCTACAACCCCAGTGAGGGACAGGGATTGCCTTCRGTTTTCAGGGTGGATCTAGGGAGATCCACAGAGCAAATACACTAAAAGCAGGTGCTCACACGTTTATCTTTTTTGAAAGACATGAAAGACATCCCAGCCCTCAAGCTCCCATCCCTGCAGGAGCAAAAGCACAGAGCACAACCCCCTGTTCTGTGTCTGTATCCAGACCTTACAGATGACCCCCTGTGGCAGATGTCACATCCACTGAGGGAGCACCAGTGGCCCCAGGGTTGGTTGGTGTTGCTGGAGATCACCATGGACTGCAGGAGCTCTGACTGTGTTTATGCAGTGTTTACCCCATCCCACCTCCTAAGCCACCTTCTCTCTCCTCCCCAGATTACGTTCCTGCTGCTGCAACACAGCCGAGAGACGCAGCAAAGGTAATGTCCTGTGAGGACCCTGAGGTCCTGCTGCTCCTATAAATCTACAGTTACCAGAAGACTTAGGGCTGCTTTTTGGCAGKTCTCCTCCAGGTCCAACCTCTGGTGGCCCCAGGGCTGTGACCAGAGCCACCGTATGACTCTCATCTTAGTCGACTTGAGGCACTGGAGAAGGGAGAAATAGAGAGTTTGGCTGGAATGCACATGATCCTGGGCAGGGTCAGCACATCAGGTCACACTGGGAAGAGAGATGGGAAAATACAGCAATTTCAACTAAAAAAAAAAAGGAATGAGGGGGTTGGAGGGTGGTCACAACTCTAATTTGATCATCCCAATCCCACAATTCAGTGCCAAGGGCTGAATCTGTTACTGAGCTTTCTTCTGGGATAAGCCCGGGGCTGCCAACCACATCCAACCAGAGTTTGGGAGGCACAATCCAACTCAGGCAAGCACAGGTCCCTGCCCTTGCCAAGAGACACAAGGTGATATCCCCTTTCCTGCCCACAGGAGGCTGAACCAACCCTCTCCAGTCCCCACGTCCTCAAGGTGCATTACAAATTCACAGTTGCCCTGAGAGTYGATCCAGGCCTCTCCTCCAGGGAGCTGCTGCAGCTGGTTTGCAAGAAGCTGGAGCTGCAGCCCGAGCACACGGAGCTGAGGTGAGGCACTGCCCGCCCCAGGGAGCCAGGGCTGTGTTCCAGGGCTGCTGACCCACATCCCCTGCATGCCAGGTACAAGCCTGCAGAGAGCCGTGAGCTGGTGACTCTGAGTGCAGAGAACCTGCAGGCAGCCTGGGGCCAGAGCAAGGACAACTGCCTGACAGTGTGGTGCGATGGCACAGAGGTCAGTGATGGCTCCAGGGGCAGGCACCTGCTCTTCCTGCTCCTTGCAACAAGCACAGGTCTGTGGCTTTCAGCAGAAGCCTGTGACCTCGGGAAAGGCAGGGCTGGAGAGAAGGAGCACACACCTCTCTTGCCCTGGTACCGAGGAAAGATGCCAAGGGATGATGCTCTCAGCAGCTTCTTGCCTGCCCTAGGGACCGGGATTTGTAGCAGACAGCAAACCACAGGAGTCTCTGCAGGAGGAGGCCATGGCACCAACCCACGTTGTAGCTCAGTACAGTTACGAAGCCACCCAACCTGAAGACCTGGAGTTTCAGGCAGGAGACGTGATCCTTGTTTTATCCAAAGGTAATCCTGCTCCTCCTGGGACAGGAGAAGGGAGAGGGACCCGCCCAGCTCTAGTGAGGGAGGATGGTGTGGCAGCTGCAGAGCCCTGCAGCTCTGTGGGATTCCTATCCACACATCCCTGATACACACACTTCTTCCTACATGTTTTCATCTCAGTCCTGTTCCACCACCTCCTTCCCAAGCATTTAAGACAGGAGTTCTCCTTGGGTTGTGTTTAAGCTTACTGATCACAGTGGATTTTTTCAAGGAGGTGTGTCACTGTGGCTGCCATCTCCACAACAGGAGCAGACTCTTCCTTTCACCTGRAACCTTTTTTCATCTGCTTTTCTTGTTAAGGGTACAATCTTCCATTAGTCTCAATCCTGTTCAATATTAGTCTTCAGTAGTTCTGTGGGAGTTAAGGCTTAAATACAGACTGAATCACAGAAGATCAATGAAGAATTACATACACAAGGCATAYTCACCTCCTCACTTGAGCCTCTGATTGAAATCAACACATCAGGATTAAGTTTTAAAGGCAAAAAACCYTTATGTACTTCACATCTGTAGTTCTGTCCCTAATCTGTGGAGGCTGGCAGGCTTTGGCAGCAGCACCCAATAAGAGGCTCCCCTCTACCCTCAGACAGGTCAGTTTTTGCACCATGCAGTGCTGATGACCCCCTTAACTGCAAAACCCTACCTTCCCCTTCATTGCAGAGGTAAGTATTTCCCAATACATGGCTGGTTCTTGCTTCATTTGGTTCCCCCACAGCAAGATCTTCAGAGCTCACAGGCTTTGCTCAGCCCAGGGTGGCAGACGTTCTGTGCATTTTAGGGTTTTTATGTGAATGTGAAAACCAGCTGACAATACACTTCAGATGTATCCTGAAGAGGACAGATCAAGGCCTTAGGTTATTTCCTCGCTCTCCACACTGACCGCTTCCACTTAGGGYAGTTTCCAAGCCCCTTGGTCTCTGATCCAATTTCCCACCCCCATTTGACATTCCTTACATCACAGCTTTACTTTCTTCCTCATTCCTCCCTTTCCTCCACATTCCACACTCGTACCAGGTCTAGCAGGCTCAAAGTTTTACAAGCAGAAATAGCTTTAAAAGGTGATGGTCAGGCCTGTTGGCAGCACGTGGATTATGCTCCTGTGTCAATTTTCCCTTCCAGTGAATGAAGATTGGTTTGAAGGCCAGTGCAAGGGAAAGATTGGCATCTTCCCATCTGCATTCGTTCAACAGCCCAACACTGAACACCCAGAGAAGTGATTTCAGAAGAGCTCAAAGTTGTGGAGAGAAGAATTCAACTGTTGCCATTAYGTAGTTTGCGTATTAATCCCTGCACCTGAAAATGAACTTTAAATGTTACTGCTACGTGTATTGAAAACTTTGTATTTTGTTTTACCTTTCATGTTGTTGTGTAAAACAGGAACTTGGTAAATTGCTAACTCCTGTTAGGAATACATTCATTCCTAAATYCTGTGCTTGCCAAGAGATTTGCCCTGTTCCCTCATCCTTGGAAGAGCTTTTACACAGAAATGTCAGGAGCTGGGAACACCCACAGGAGGGTGGTGTAACCTGCATTTACAGCCCTGCCAGCAGATACCAAAGGGGAAGTGATGTTCAGGAAGCTATAGACCAGGAAAGCATTTGCCTCCTTAGAACACAACTGCTGACCCCAAGAGCTCAGGAGACACCCCACAGCCTTAGCCCTGCTCCAAACCACAATTCAAATTTACAGGGACTTAAAAACTCCCAGCAATAAAAGCAGACATTTTTTTTCACCATCAGGAGCCGTGCTTCAAAGCTTTTCCTGATCAGTCAGAAGAGAGAGTAACTTAGAAAGACACAGCCTGGAATCCCAAAGCTTTGCTCCAAAGGTGCTAAGGGCAGGGGCTTCCCCACTCTGGATTCTATCACAAGTCCTGGACAATCCCACTACCTCATTAACCTAAATATTACATTTATTTTTAAAGGAAATTATTGTGGAAAAAATAAATACCTGTCATTTCAAACCCAGAACATGTCTGGAGTTTTCTGTGACACACCTGGAAGCATGAAAGCAGTGAGCATCCTGGCCTGCAGTTTGGTCACTGGTAGAAGAATCCATGTCCTCCACTCCCACTGCACGTGCTCTACCAGGATGAGCCTGCAACTAAGGAGAAGCTCTGCAAGCTGCTCCCATCCTATATTTTTGGTTCAGTACGTGAAAACACACTACACAGGCAGCACAAAACCACAACCCAATTATCTGCACCAAGCCCAAGCCAGAATCGCTGTGATTCATTTGGGTCTCTTTCCAATTAAAAATCAAACCTTCTGACTTCTCCAGAAAAGTAACGTGTTTTTAAAGGCCTGAAGCCAAGTCACACAGGAAATAATGCTACACGCAGACCTGGATGGAGAGAACATGGTTTAATTAAAGGCAAAGCTGATTTCAGCAGCTGCAGTTCTTGCACAGACAGACAGAAAACACAAAAAAAGCTTACGACACAAACCAGTTTCTGTTGGGGGCCCCTTCCCTGGCTCCCCCAGGTGYTGGAGGATGGGCGGGGTCAGACGCATTCCCGAGGCCGGGCGCTCATGCACAAGTGGAACGGTGCAGCTGGGAGCTGGCGCGGCCGGGAGCGAGATGGTGCTCCTGGTTAGCTCGTCTGGGGTGCAAGAGTCAGTGACGGTGCAACACGGGAATGTCACAGCTGCCTGGGCACAGCTCGGACACACAGCGGGAGGGCTGRAGGGGACACACACGGTGGGCTGGATTACTGCTGGCTGGGAACTTCACTTTTTGGACTCGGTAAAGAAAATACAGCTTCAAAATGCAACACAGAACAGTGATGTTGCTAAGGTGGAGCTTGTGGGGAGCTGCTCGTACCCCTGAGGGTGCCGGGTCTCCTCCGCTTTCCCTTTTTGCATTCTCTGGGGCTGCCCAGACTCCAGTGTCGCTTCGGCTCCTGCATGTGCTTTGCTTTGCAGCTGAATTCCAGCCCAAAGATCCTGAATCATCACACAAACCCCTACCGCTAATAACAGCAAATGAACACCGAGACTGTTTCCGTAACTTCCCTGGGAAACCTAACAAAAATGCTGCTCCTTTCTTTAACAAAGCTTCCAGTCTTCCTTCCCCCTAATAAATAGCAAATAAAAACGTTTTTCCTTTTCCCTTCTGCACCTTTTCATCTACGAACAGCACCGTGCTGTTTCCGTGTGTCCATGGTGCCTCAGATTTGCTTCTGGCACTGAAAGCCTGGGGCTGCAGCTGGGACAGGTTTGTGCAGAGCTCACCTGTGCCTCGCCAGGCGTGCGGACACCCCGCGCTGTCTGGGCTGGCTGTCGGATTCACCCAGCCCTGCTGGACCCCTGACTATTTTCTGCCATGGTAATGAAACTACGAGTGTTCAGCGAAGATGGGAGGATGGAAAGAGAAAAACAAAAACAAAATGAAAAACCCCCATTGAAAGCTTTCTACCTACCTATTAAAATGAGTCAGGCTGTGAATGCACAGACTAGCCYGCCCTTTCTGGGGCTAGCCACTATGCTACAGTAAAATGTACAGGAATCACACATTAATTTAAAACCCCTTAGCAGTTAACTTGCTTTTCAGCAGAGTGCTGCAATGCCCCATGTCACCCCTTATAGTTCAAACACCTACTGAGAGAAGGGCATTTCATGCTGGAGTCTCTAACCCACCCAAAGCCTACGGGTGAAGCGGTGCCAAGTGCCAGACTCTCCTTCATGAAACTCCTTCACTAGCCCAGGAGACAGAACTCCCCCTCGCCACCATCYGCTGTGACCAGGGCAGCAACTGGGGCTCTCATTGCTACACACTGACTATGAAGCATGTCTGTGTACGGAAGAATTCAGTGTGATCTTACTACTGAGATAGTAATAATGATGTTTAGGAGTAATTTCAACTACATTCTCAGTCAGCGAAGCAATCATTAATGGATTCCTATTGTATCTCCCCCAAAGAGAGGAAAAGGATCAAGAAGTTCTCATTGGCTTCTCCCATCTGCCCTTTGCTCTCAGCTTTTACTTCCCATGTGGCTGGGGACATGCACGATGGAGAAGGTGAGAGGCGGTGATATCGGGTTACTGAGTGAGCCAAACAGCAGTTCCTCTCTCCCTCCGAAGGGCCCGGGGATGGGAGAGTTCCTGATGTTGTTTGCTTGCACTGCAGACGTTTTGTGCACACTCAGTGGGTYGGTGGAGCACTTATGCCCTCCTGACAGCAAGGAACAGAAGAGAGGGCTGCCACCTGCGCAGGACTCTGGTGCCAGTCCCGCAGACCCAACATGCCATGGTTTATGGAGCCGTCGTTGCAAAGGTGGTCTCCTCTGTCTCAATGTGGTGGGTTCATGGCGCCTTGTCCACGCTGCTGCTTCTGCTTCTGCTGCATCAACAGCTGCTCCAGGGCCGAGGGCCCAGGGTGCATCATGGAACTGGACCAGATGGACTGCAARCAAACAGCCAACACTAGCATCCCTTGTGTCATACAGCCCCCCAGTCACATGGGAAAGCAGACACCATGTTCCACATTCTCCCTCTTTATCACTCACACCTGGCTAATCACTAAAATTAATCAGGCATCAAAGAAGACCTTCTAAAAAGAGGCTCCTTGGAAGAACCTTATGCTCCTTCAGAATACTCACTACCRTAAAAATTCATCCCACGTTAACTATTACTAATCTTAGACTCGTCAAACTTAATGTTAAAATTTCTTCCAGTTCTGCCAGCCTGGATTTGTTACACCAAATTCTCAAAACCAGCAAGAACTGGAAATTTGTGATGTCCTCCTGCACTGGTGACACTTCTCACACTGCCTGTGTAAGTGAATCCGCAGGAAAAGCTTTGGGCTTCTGGCACTGGACTCTGACACTTCCAACACCCACCAGGGGACTGTCCAGCCCCGCAGACCCATCCCTGGGCACAGCCCCAGCCAAACGAACCTTCAGGCTCTCCATAAGCACAGCTGAGGAGTCCTCCATGGTGGGAGGGCCTTGGGCTGCCCAGGTACCGCTGGGAGCACTGGACTGGTGCCAGCTGCTCTCCGAAGAGGATGATGTTGCTGGGAGATAGTCCAGACCAAAACCTCCCATTGCTAAAATGGCAGAAAGACAAGTTCAAAGTGAYGTGGCAAAACCAGTGCAAAACAAATGCCATCAGCTGATGGTCTGACAGCTCTGTGCTAACCTGGAGCCCAGCACTCACCTGGCTTATCTGTTTTCCAGCGGTCTGCGACTCTCCGGTCTCTGCTGTCTGGAGTCCCAATGGGTCCAAAGTTGGAAAAGGGAACGGAATTGTGGTTATGGGTTGGAGGGGAGCTTGGCAAACTGCTGGGGTTGGAGGAGTGAGGAGACTGGCTGGCTGGTGTTGAATGATCTAAGGATTACAAGACAAGAGGAAAAAAAGGTCAGCAGAGACAACAGGAGCCTCCCAGTTTTGAATTTCTTAGTGCTGCTGCGAATTCTGCCATCACCCAGTTTGTTACAATGCTGAAGGCCAGCTTTCATCCCTCCATTACATGTGTATAATGCCAATTCCTATGTTCTGAGTGAAATACTTACAAGACTAGAATGACTGTGTTTAATGTTTACCAGAAAAACAAAACCCAGGAAACCTCATGAAGGCTGGCTAGGCAAAGCCAGTTTTCCCCATGTCCCTTGAAGACATTGTCTCAAACTAAAAGAAGAACTGTCTCCAAGCTTGAAAAACTAATAGAAAAAATGGATTAAACCTTGAGGAGTTTGCAAGTTTACAACTTCAACTCCCAAGCTGCACACTTCTGTGAGATCAAAGCAATTCAGACCAGAACCCAACAGTGAGCAAAAGATGAGAGAGAGCATTGAAGCAGCCTGTCTGCAGGCAGGACAGAGTAAATGAAGAAGTGAAGGGAGAAGTAGCTGAGGACATGTGTGCCAAAAATCATGCTCAAATAAAAGCACTTCGCACCTTCCTTCATTTCACCCACAATGGCTTTTCCTGGTTGGTTGCAAAAGTACCACCAAACATCTCATCCAGTGCAGATATTATTTAAAATCCCCTAATTTCCTAGATTCAACTAATTCTTCTCTCACACTCTTCTGGATTTTCACTGAGATTACAATTATGGCWTAATAATTATGGTTTATTGAAGATAATTACTAACAAAGAAGCTGTTTTGCTTTGTGGACTGCTTAACAGTAAAAAAMCCAAACCARCAAAAACCATTACTGTTCTATTTTCCTCCACTCTTCAGTCATACAGTTYGTTTTTCAAATATCTACATTATGAAATCCAGTTCCAGCAGCTTTTTCMAAAAAAAAAAAGGCAACACAAAGTATATGGATGTCTGAATTGAAACCCTACTCCCAAGTGGCTGTCAGGAAACTGAGTTAAAAAGATTTCAGGATTTAACACCTCCTACAACATTTATCCTGCTCAACTACTTAAATTAAAATCCAGGTTCTTGCACCATATTAATTACAGAATCCCTCCTTGTATTTCTAAGGATATATAAAGTCAACCAGAAACCTTCAGAGACCCTGTCAAGCAAGTTTCAGTGGGTTCTCTTTTTTCCCCTTGGTTTTTTTTTTGTGGTTTTTTTTTTTTTTTTTTTTTTTTTTTTTTTTTTTTTTTTTTTTTTTTTTTTTTTTTTTCCAGTTACATATAACTTGCAGTTGGTTTGGAATGCACTCAAATCCTCTTAAAGCACTAGACACAAGAAATACCATACCAGGACTACCTGAGCTGGCTGGAAGGGATGGAGACCAYGGAGTCCCTTCAAAGAGAGAATAGAGTGAAGTCTCCTGATGGGGAACTGAAGGGGTGACTTCCGTTTTTGTGCTGGTATTCATGTTTTTTCCATATACCTCATTGAACATGCTGTTGTTTGGATATCTTTCCTGGAAAAAAAACAAACAATATAAGAGCTTAGGTATTAGATTTATTTCAAACACCGAGACTGTACAAAGTAAACAATTACAGTTCAATAAATTTCCTAACGCCTTTTTCACTTCCCAGACCCATCTTCTTTGACCATTTAATTTAAATCCATCACATTCTGAATCAGGACAGATTTCTCCAGGCTGGAGTGAAAAGTCTTCACAAAATCTTCAGAATTCTGGCACTCAGAAAAGTTGWATCAAGACCATGCTCAATTCTCTGGAAGAGAACAGGAAATTCATTGCTCTGGAAATGAAAACCTACACACCACAGCACCCTGAGATGCACCTTTTCAGTCAATTCCATGACTYCTCTGAGAGCAAAGGGCCCATGAACTCAGCCAAGATTCAAGAGTACATCTGCAGAGATACAGCTAAGATGAATTTGGGAAGCAAACTGATAAAGGCAAAGATTAAGGTTGATACAGACTGAAATTAGGTATCCATGTGAATTTCTTTCAGGTTTTCCACTGGCTTAACTGCAAGCTGAAACAGCAAAAGGTGTTGGACTCTGGTTCTCACTCACCTGATTAAGAGAAAAGCCACTGAGGGACAGGAAAGACGATGACTGAGACATCAGTTCTGATGGTTTTTCCAGCAGGGACTTCTTCAGAAACCCAAAAGGGGAAAAGGGCAGTTAGTACTCAGTGTAGGGAGCACAACGAAAAAGTGTGTGATCAGAAACCACCAAGTGGATTTGGTCACATTTACAATATTTCTTGCATTTTAGCTCCTTGGAGGACRGGGGGGGGCAAGCTAGCAAGTGCCAAAAATCAATAGTTTATACTACCTGTAATTAATAATCTAAAAATCAACAAACATGACAGCTGAGAGTCTCAGGCAAGCCTCACTACCAGAACAGCTTTTCAAATCCAACACCTAATACTCTGATACATCTAGAGGGGAGATCCTTGCCAAAAATATATTATGGTTCTGTAAAACTTYGTACAAGGGAGACAGGATCCTTCCCAATGACCAGAGGACTCCTTCAGACAAGATAAAGACTCTTGTATGTGGCTACTGACGGAACATTTTTTCAGTTCTGAGAGMATCTCCATGGCAGAGATGTTCTTAGACAGCAAGAGCAGGCAAGTGCTTTTTTAATTAGGTTAGACAGTCCAAGCATCATTTAGCACTCTCTCATTTCCATTATAAATTACTGTAGAGAGGAAGTGAAAAACCTCAACCCAAATGTTTAAAACAAAAATTACAAAACTCCCCTGGGCTTCCATGTAAAGTTATTATGGACCATGACCTCTTTTCCATCATTTATGCCACCTCCCTCTCATACAGCTGTTATTTCCAGCATATTTCTTGTCTTTCTGTTCAGTTCTTACTATGATTAAGGAGTGAAAAAYAGTGTCTTTGAAACAAGTCTATTTGGAGAAGAAATAGGTAAGTTATCACTGACACAGAAACAAAAAAAAAAWATCAAGCTTAGCTGGTAGACAATGAACATCACCAAATTTAGCATCTGGATCACCAAGCCATAGGATTAGTAAACCATAAGTAAAAATGTGTGTCAACCAAAATAAAAGCTGTAGTCTTGTTACAAATAAAACCTCTCTTGCACTCCTATCAGCTCAGCATCTCAGATGTTTTTAAATTTTGTATTCAAACCACAAAAACCTGAACTAGCATCCCTCTGTCTTTAACAGTCACAGTATCTGGAATATCTTTGTTTTCATCCTGTAAACTTAAGACAAACAGCCTCACATTCTCGGCAAGCGGCCCCTAGCTTGTTAGATCTTCAAAATAACAGCTCATTACTTTGAAAGCATGTTTTAAAAGACAGACAAAATTCCCACTCTGCATATCCACATGGCTTGCACAGCGAAGGATTTCCTTCCATTTGTCAGCAAACACCACAGTAGGAGCTTCCAAGGAAGCTGCTGAAGCAGCAGCTATTAGTTTCTTAGCAAAGTTATCTAATGAGTTAGAAATGAGCATCTATCTTGCAACTGGCTCCTTGGGATGGCACATAAAATAACGGAGGAACAGGCTTAATCAKAGATTTTGAGTAGAATCACAAATAATTCTTTGTTACTGCTACTAATCTGGATGAGTAGGATTTAACGAATATGCTTGTAGCCACTCAAGAAAGGCAGGCTGCACTTTTAGAGGTAATTTACAAATTCAACAGCTCTGAGAGCCTCCAGCTGGTGAACTAGGAAGGTTTCAATACAAAAAGGCAGGAAGAAAACCCCTCTGTCAAAAATGACTGTAATTCTAGAAGAGTTACTGTGTATTTATCCAGTTAATTGCTTTTTTCTTCCAAAGCCATCTTTCACTTTTACTATCTTTTCTGCATTGAATAGGGCAGCATACCCCTGCCTCTATGGAGATTTTACATGCGTATTACAATCATAGAATCGTATCACAGAATTGTAGAATGGCCTAGGTTGAAAGGGCCCTTAAAGCTCATCTCACTCCATCCCCCTGCCCTGAGACAACTCCCACTGTCCCAGGCTGCTCCAAGCCCTGACCAACCTGGCCTTGAACACTTCCAGGGATCCAGGGGCAACCACAGSTTCTCACTACCCTCACAGGGAAAATTTTCCCCCTAATATCTCATCTTAACCTATTCTCTGCCAGTTTGAAGCCACTACCCCTTGTCCTATCACTACACCCTTGCTCTGCTCACTCCCCACAGTCCAAGCAGTGTCCCCCCCTGCTCTTTATTATAAGCCCAAACAACTGCAGAAGAGCAACTGCATTAAATGATGCATCAACACATCTCCTGTTGGACTGTACTTACAGAAAACCCACAGTTATTCTGATTTCTGAGCAAATTAGCAGGCCCGAATTCAGCCCAAAAGCTGTATCATGGTCCTCCCTGAAAACTAGCCCAAAGGTAAAGCAGGGAAGTAGACAGGAGGGGTGGGCAGAGAAAGGAATTTCATATTTCTTATTATTTCACAGAAGAAAGAGATGCCAGTTAAGAGTGAGAAGCAGCAGTATTACATCAAATACATACAAAGAGGCTTCGTCCAGGAAGAGAGGCGAGAGGCCCCAGCAGAGCTGGGTAAAGATCAGGAGGATTAGAGAAAATCAGCTCTTCCTCCTCCTCCAAGGCAGCCAGACTCTTTAACAGGTCCGGAGGAAGCAGAGGGGAGCTCTTGGGGTCCTAGTGACAGAAATGAGCACAGTGAGACAACGGAAGGCAGAAAGAACAGCCAGAGACAGTGAGGCTAAGCCAGAGCAGAAGAGAGAACAGCAAGAAGAAGGCAGAAGGCAGCATGCAGAGGGCAAGGTGAGAGTGGTGCTGAGGCACATACAGAGAGATCTCTGAGCAGAAACCATCACCAGCCACATGGCCGAACTGCACGGAGAGAGTGCCACACACCAAAGTGACAGCAGGGAGCTTTAACTGGTGGGGGTGTGCTTCCCCTTGCATCCATRCCACATACTGAACCTGTTTCCACATGCAAGGACAACAAACAAAATCTTAACATCATTCTTCTACAGCTGACCTGYGAGTAATTTAGGTTTCAAGTAAAATTACATTTGCATCTTCTTTTCTCTATTTGCGGAGTTTAAATCCCASGAGACTTATTTCCACTGGTGATGGCTGCTATGCCAACACACAGCTGACCAGCCGCCCCTGGGCCAGTGAAATCTGCAAAGTGCTGGTCAGACGRGACATCTTGACTTTTGTGAGGGATGCTTAAAGCACAAGCATCACAGGCTTCTCTCTGTAGCACAGTGTGCTGGCACCTAGGCAAGGTTTCCCTTTTAGGAATGAGGACAAGACTTAGACCCTACCTCCAGCTAAAAACCACAATCTGACATCAGGGTAGGGGCAGACTCYGGTACATTGTCCGGCTTTTCTCTTGGAAGGATGAGCCAAACGATCTCAGCTGACTTTCTCCATGTCCTGAATGCATTTACAGAGGCACCTCCAACCAAAGGTTTATAGAGGCCTCTTTTTAAGCCTACTCATAAATATCACCAAAAGCACTCACAGACAACTCCAGGCCTCTCAATGAATACCAGAGATTGCTGGGTTTATAAACAGCAACAAGCAGCACAACCCCATGAACAGAAGCAAAGTATTCCATTACTGCAACCAGGAGCTAAGGAAGACACTTAGCTCTCTCAGTATGGTGGGATTTTCAGGAAAAACAAACTAACAAAAAAATCCAAGACAAGACTGCTGCTACCATCCTTGATTGCCCAACCTGAATACTGCAGCCTTGGCCATTCAATTCACTATAGCAGTGCTAGGAGTTGACCTAAAGTGTAGTAATTCAACCACAATTATTTGGGTGGTTTTTATGGTTTTCATCAGTTGCCAGACAAGAATTTTCCCCAAAACTATCAGCTGCCATGTTTTTCGACCTGGCAGATGTCACATCCAAACTGAACAAGACTTAGACCGACTTGAAASCAGTTTTCCAAGAGACTGAACCCGCACACAGCCAACTAAAATCGAGAATTCATCACTTCGCGCTGGAACCCCACGTACTGACATTCGGGTCTCTTCTAAATAGGCTCACATTGACCTAATTGGGACCCGAGGACATTCCTGAAACAGGAAAACTTCACAAGATGTCAGGAATACCAGAGCCTCGGTTTTCCCCACTTGCAACACAGATCTTACCTCAAAAGTCATCCTGGAGACAGCGTCCTGCTCGGAGCGGAAGACTCCCTGCCGCTTTCCCCTGCGGTCCATGTTCGACTGCTGGGCCATCACCCTTTTATCAGTCATGCCATAGGAAGAGTCCCAGTAATATTCTGGCACCTTGACTTCTGAGGGGTTCTGGTTATATGGCTCCATTGGGAAAGGCTTCATTTTTTTCTCCAGAGGTTGCTGTTGCATCACAGGAGGCTGTAATGACTGTTCAAAGAGTTTGAGAGGGTCCTGGGCCTGCAGGTAATAGGGCTGCTTTACAGGCATGATCTTCCCCAGGGAGCCCTGGACTTGAGGGGGGTTCCAGAGCTGCTTCGACGAGTCTGTCTGTGGATACTGAGGCAGAGACATGGGATTTCACCAGTGGGGAGGAACTAATTAGTATGACCTGAATGCCTAACTGCATCCATGCTGTCAGCCTGGCCTACGCATGATAGCAAAGTTTGTGGAATGTCTGTGTTATTCACCAAAAGCAATCTCCACAGGCATCTAACACTCTCTAGTCAAACTTTAAACCAATAGCCAAGTATAATCCTTACTCTAATCCAGTACYTTATAAACTAAAAGCCCACAAAGTRAACCTTTAGGAAGGTGCTGAGCCAGCATCATTTTGCTGCCCAGAACACAAGGAGGGGCTCACCATCAGGTCCAGATTTGCCAGAAGGGAGATTTTCTCCAGCACAAGGTGAGCAAAGAACTAAGGGCTGTAAGGGAACTGATACTGCAAGCAGTTACCAAAAGGAGAGTGCAGGTGGAGGTTCACATTCAGTCCTCATCACACGCACAAGAAAACTAGAAAGGCCTGAGACAGATATACCACCTCCATACTTGGTCTATAAACAGAAACACACAGCAAATTGATGACAGAAAGCATTCMATTCCAGTACATATCTTCCTTTCAGTTACAGCATCATATGTTCACACCCACCAAACTCCAGCTCATTTTCAAATTTGCCCAGAAGTTCACAATCAACAAATTCTTTAACGACAATTTTAAAATGTAAYCCAGGAAGACAAGTCTTGAACACTGCCATTTGTTTTTAAATAAAGCCTAGCATGTAGCACAGACCAAGTTTACCTGCTGGAATCCGGAGTGGTGTGGTGGGCTCTTCCCCAGGCCCTGCACAGCTTTTGTGGGGGACTGCTGCTGCTGCTGGGCCAGAGCTTGGACCTGTAACTGGCYTGCGGACTGTGCTGTTGCCTGAGCTGGTAAAGATGAGAGGGGTTGCTGGGAAGGAGGTGGTGTTTGCTGAGGTCCCTGGGTCATTGGCCCTGGTCCAGAGGGCCGTTGCTGGCTGTAAGGAATGTGGGACTGTTTCCCACCTTGCACCTGGTTTCCTGCAGGCGAGTGAGCTGTGGGCTGGAGGAAGGTTCCTGGGACAGAAACACCACCTGGGAAGGTGTACCCCGTGCTCATGGAGAAAGCCACAGGAGGGGGGACAACATACGTTGGAGGTGGAAATCCTGGAAAAGATAAAAAATGCACCTTTGATCCAATTTGGCAGTGCATACAGCTCCCTCCTGAAGGCTTTTAGTTGGACTTCTCTTCCTATGCKGCTTATTTAGAAAAGGAGGCACTAGTCTGCATACATGCACTGCAATGTCCTTCCTCACTTTGGCATATACATGGCTGTGATCACATAGGGATTCAGAGTTTGCTCTGGAGTTTTCTTGCAATATTCCAGGCACTGACAGCTGTCAGCAAAGGCAGCATCTGAAAATCATACATTTCCCCTTCTCTGTGTCCCCTCCTCAATCTCCCTGCTTTTTTGGACCCTCACTACCTTTTTCCTTCATCTTTCTGGGGTTTTTAATGCTTTACCCCTGAAGTTCCCTCCCCTTCAAACACATTTTCAGGGACTAAATTTCTGCAGGAACAAACAGAAGCAATCAATACAGTTAATCTACTGCCTCCTCCCAGAGGATCCCTAGTCTCTGGATTAATTTAGAGAGAGACAGATGAAAACCAAACAAATCCTCWTATCTGTAAGATCAATTCCTTCCCTGTAGTTCACACTGAAAAGCCAGGTTTGGAAGGCAAGCTTTAATTTTGTGTCTCACAGATTTTACGCTAACTTTGGGACAGGGAAGATGTCTGTCTTATATTGAGGAGCTCCATGTAACAGGTGCAGGGAAGATGCAGCTTCCTGTTATTCCATGAACAAACATGGATAGCAAGGTATGACAGGCACACTCCACAGCAAAACAGGACATGCAGTGCATCCACAGTGGCAAATGATATCACGCAAACTACAGCTTCAAACATGAGCACCACTACGAAAGAAAGTTTTAAAGCAAGTAGTGTGATTGATCTTTTGCAATGGAGTCTGAAGCCCAGGGAATGCTTCAGAAGCAGTGCTAGCAGAAGGCTTTGTCATGTTCAGACTAACTACACAAAGAGCCTAGCGTGAAGTTCCTTGATCTCACACCCAGTATATACCAGAAGGCAGGAGGCAGATTTCATGTCAGACCTCAATGCCAAAGCACAAGGAATCTTAGTCATCTCAYTTCAGATCTGGAATGCCCCTTCTTTACTACTTGGTAAGATTTTCAACAGGAAAATCCATGTTCATTAACAGCCCCTACCTTCAGAGACTGTACCAACCACTATTACAGGATTTTCAATGCAGTCACTTCAATGACATAAATGACACTTCAAAAGAATGATGCACATTACCTGGCCGGCTAGGAAGGGGAGGGAAGGCTCCTGGGTGATGAATGGGGATAAACTGGGAACTGCTGGCCTGACTTGGAGTCTGAGTTACGGGTGTTTTCCTGGCTTCAGACACCGGAGTCTTCCTCATCTCTGTCTGGGATTTCACCTGATGCAAAAKAAAGTATGAAGGAATTAAATCACTTTTCCTAAATTTCCACATTAAACATATCATGTCTTAAGCCAAAACTTAAAACTCTCAGATTGTCTGAGCGATTATTTTCTTTTCCCTAAATAACTGGGCGGAGTTTGGAACACAGAAACCCTCCTCACTGACCTCAGGCAGGTTACCCTGCATGTCCTCAGGCACTTCCTGCCTCACAAAAGTGCTCAAGGGTATTTACTCAGAGGATGAAAGAGGGTCCTTCTCTAGCAAGAGAGTGGAAAGCAGACATAATATCTCATACCATCCAAGGAACTTACCATGCTGCTCATCTGCAGTGTTTAAAAACAGAAAGTGTAGATGCTACTATGCTTCTCCTAGGGCACTGCTCCAATCTAACTCATGCTACTTACCTGCAGCACCTTAAAAAACAAACATTGCCATGTTTTTCCTGTGGAGTCCTCTCAGCCTAATCCATATGGTGATGTATATGCACAAACTCCTGCACACTACAGAGTTCTTTWGATCCAGAGCATACAAGACAAACAGCAGAAGTGTTTCACCTCATTCATTACTGTGTAACTGTGGGGTGTTCTGTTAAAAGAGCTGCACCAGTTAAAGGCAGAGAGAAGAATGKAATGTAATGTTTACCTGATTCTGAGTCTGCAGCAGTCTGGGTCTTCCTGGGGAGGAAGACAGAGGGGAAGACTACTTTCCCTTTCTGTTCAGCTCGGCAGAACTGCCTGGAATGCAAGATGGAGCAGGCAGGAAAAAGACAGCAAGCAAGGAACCCGGGCAATATAGAAAGGGCCCAGGAGCAGACCTGACATCAAGCCTCAAAAGTGAGTGAAAGAGAGGTCTATCAGGGACCAAATTAAAAAAATCCAAACCAAACAAACCAAAAGTGTGTGGGGTTTATTTAGACATTTAGTGCTGCTGAGTTGAAAGGAGTTACAGGACAGTTGTTTTCTGCCAAATTACACCAGTAAAGGGATAGATGCATTCAAATCCTCTCT